AAAATCAGGGGATTATCAGTTGATCCAATACTAAATGAGACCTGCTTTTGAAAGGCTGTAAATTTGGGTAAAATAGAGTTGTGTTGTATCTATCTGTTATAATTGCATTTGCATAACAATTCCATTTATTCTTGCAACAAAGAATATTAAGTTGCTTTGTACTGTTCTTTTAGGAAACCTCAAAAGAAGGCGGGCCAGCTGTTTTCACCAAGAAGAACAACATTCCACCACTTACAAAATCATTTCACAGACACATGGTTAATGTAAGTGGTAGATATTATAAATTATAGTAATTTTAAATTGTAAATGTTAATATAAGGACATATGAAAACTTTACAACTTTACTTTATTTAGCACTCGAGTTTTAGTTACAATATTAACATAAAAGACAGGAAAGGATACATAATGTAAAAAAATTAAAGGTAACAGTGGTCTATAGTTCGTGCATGGAGGCTAAGAAAACCGCGAGGTTATCGAGTTAGCCTCCATCTCTTTTGGATTCACATAGAATTAACTGGGAGTAGAGGGAAGGATCACTGAATTAAAAGCTACAAGAATTGTGGAAGACTTACATTTGAGATAACTTGACTGATAGATAGTTTTAGCACTTTTGATTTGTGGAAACTTAGGTTTGATATTGCTGATATAGAATAAAGATTTTAACACTTTTGGAGAAAGCAAATTCATTTAGGTCTTAAAAATTGTATAGCAGTTATTGCCAAATATCAATGCCCATAAATGGCCATTCATTTGTTTGCCAGTATTTGTTTTTACTCTAAATTTGGGAAGATTATGTTTGGCTGCATACCTGGTGTTATAATTTTCTACGTTACTGGCATACTGGAAAAAATGGTTAAAGAGTTCTGGGAGAGCACCTTTGAGCCATGCATGAATAAATTTAAGAGCATACAAGCGATATACGTTAGCTACCGTTAACATTTCCCAGATATTAAGTAGAGGCAGTGCACTTTCGGTAATTTTCCCAGATAGAGTTGCAAAGAACATTAACTTAATAACATGATTTTGCTTAGTTTGTATTTTATGTAAATTTGTCTTGCTGTTGCTGCCCCAGGCAATGATAGCGTACGAAATGTAAGGATAGATAAGATTATAATAGATCTGCTTAAGTTGTTTGAGAGGTAGACAATGCCTCAACTTAGAGATTACTCCTGCATTCCGTGAAAGCTTAGCGCACACATATGAGATGTGATATTTCTAAGTTAAAACACTATCGATCATTACTCCTAAATATTTAATGTGGTCCTTCCGTTCTAAGGAGTGGCATGATCCGTCTCGGTTAGTTATCTTTTTATTAACATTCATGTTCTTTTTCCCTGGCGACTTTTCAATCATCTAATTGGTTTTCTTTAAATTTATCGATAGCTTGTTTATGTCATACCATTCCTTGACCTTTTTTAGTTCTACATTCATTTGCATTTCTAATGATTGTATATCTTTTGCAGAAGCAAACAAGTTAGTATCGTCCGCAAATATTTTAAATGAAAATATTCCTATGATAAAAAATGTTGAAGTTTGTCTTGGATTTAGCAATGCTTTCTACATTTGTACGAGGTTGAAGCGAGTGTTTACTTGCAATTCGTGAGTTTAAATTCATGTCGTCTTTTTTCCTAGGAAACCATACAAGATTTTCAAGCGAGTGTGCTCCAAGTATCTGATGGTCCTTATGATGAAAGGTGAATCTTGCAGGGAACCAAATAGCCCCTGAACAATCAAGAATTTCTTCGTTCCGTCGTCCCTTCGTCCCTTCTTTTCTTCGTTTCTTTGTTTGCCCTCCTTTCGTTCCTTCGCAAGTTTGTCCCTTAAATTTGTCCCAGCATTTACAACCATCGTTTCTTTTGCTTTTCTCTTTTTCATCCTCTTAACCGTTAGTTTCAACTTTTGCTGCTTTCTTCCGTTTATTGGTAATTTTTTTTCCTGGTGTCAGTGTTGTAAAAGGACAAATGAAGTCTCCTTTGTCTCTTACATTTGTATCTGTTACTTTTCTACTCTTTTTTTTTTCTTTTTTTGTTTTGTTTTGTTTTGTTTTGTTTTGTTCTGTTAATTAATATTTCTGTTCGTTTATGTACATTTAACAGCATTCTTGGCAATATTCCTGGAGTAGTGTACGAATTTCCAAATGGTTATAACAACACATTTGGTGTGGAGAGGTTTAAGATTTGTGAAGGACTCTTTGATCCTTCAAATGTCAAGGTCAGTCCTCCTGCTCTCTCTTAAACTTATAACTCCCATGAGTGACCAAGACAGAGTCTCTCCTTACAATATCAATGCAATTATTTATTTATTTATTTATTCGCCGCCTTATTGTGATACAAAACGAGTTTACAGAAATTTGTTACAATATGGCAGGAAAGCCCAAAGAAACCATAGGGCTTATGCAACGTGGGCTTTCCATGATAAATAACGATGTGTAAGGTAGATATTAGATTAACTGAACAGCAGCGGGAGAGTATAGATAAAACGAAAGAATAGAAAAAAAAAAAGAGAAAGGGAAAATTTTAAACTTATAACTCCCATGAGTGACCAAGACAGAGTCTCTCCTTACAATATCAATGCAATTATTTATTTGAATAAAGGCTGATAGTTTCGAAAGAAACTGTTTGGGGCTGCGTCGGTGGGAGTAACGAAATAATTTGGATATATCAACAAAGTTGAAATGGTAAATTGGCCACCGTAATGATTACAAAAGCTGACGTTTCGAGCGTTAGCCCTTCGTCGGAGCGAATAGAGGAATTGTGGGTTGTGTGTGCTTTTAAAGGCAGAAAATGGAGCTACGTTATTGGTGGGTGCATGGCAACGAGAAAAACATGAATAAATTAGTGGAATGAAAAGCGTTCATTGATCCCTGTGGGATTTAGACTGCCGGTTTGAAAGATGAGCTTTTGTTCAAGATTTTTACGGCTTTCCGTGCCACCTAAGTGCAAGGAAAGACCGCAGATTGCCATATGTTGCTTAGAATGATTNAAAGGGAGTAGAGGGGAAGGAGCAAGTTAAGAGAGAAGGAATTTCTTTAGATTTTTCCTAAAAGTAGATACACTTACTGAACTTACAACGTCTGGACTAAGCGAATTAAAAAACAAAGGGCCTTGGTATTGTTCAAAACGAGAAACGTCTTCTATTAGTTCTACACTTAGGAACATAAAAGGAACTGGCATTCTTAGTATCACAATCATGGACCTGATTCCTTCGTAGAGACGTGTTATTAAATACTTCTGGTAACACCCCGATTTCAAGCAAATAAGTAATGAGAATAAGGAAAGAGGAAAATCAGGGGATTATCAGTTGATCCAATACCAAATTCTCCAAACTAACATCTTAAGAATTGTATGGCAGAAAGTGAGGAGAATTACGAATGAGATCTTGGGAATGAAAGAGTTAATGACCAACCCGATGATAAGTTTTAAACGAGTGAGCGACCATTACGCTGCAGAAACTATGTGCATGTTCCCACTTTAGGTCAACGCTGCGAGTCGCGGGCGTTTTCGTCGCCATGGCCGCCAAAGCTGTCGCAAAATTTTCCTATTTGTCCAACTGACTCTTTTTGGCGGTCACATAGCGAGCTTTAGAAAATGTTATTAATGTTTTGTAGTTTTTTCAGCTGAAAATGAGATAGTAAAAGTTATGACAATAATTGTTTGAATAAAGGATGAAGCATGCTCCTATCGCTAGATCCGCTGGCATCGCTCTATGAATTTAAGAAACGTGAGAGGCAGTTTGAGGAAGGCTTTCTTTAAACCTGCCAGCAATATATAGAGGTGCAAATGATGGCATTGTAATATTATCTTGACGTTGCTTCAGGGTATAGAGGGAAGTACAGCTATTGGTGTCACTCAAGTGGTCACCACAAGTGTAGGAATGACAGACATAGATATAAGAGCGGTGAGTGCTTCTGGCTATTGAGAAGGGTTTCATTGATTTATAAGTCTTCATTCTAAAATTGAAAAACATGGAAATTAATGTCAAATTGTTCTTGTAGATTAGTCATGGATAAATTACATATAATCGAGCGACTCGTGATCAATCGACTTCACTCGAGCTGTCCTCCAAGTCAAAAAGCTCGCAGGGTAGCAGTTGAATCGTCTGGGTGTTGGTTTCCGTCTGCACATTCTTAATATCAATTTGGATTTTTTTTCTCGCGGAAATTGACGAACGACTAGTTTACAGATAAATCCACCTACAATGTGGCCGGACACCTCACGTTTGAGAGTGTGTTATAAGTAATTTATCATGCTCCTTTGTTTAACATGAACTTGACTGTAATGTAACCTTTGGTTTGAACGCAGGGTTTGTTTGGATCTGTCATCGTCACAGGCGGAAATACCCTGTTACAAGGTTTTACTGATAGACTGAACCGAGAACTTCTTTCTAAAACGCCACCAGTGAGTATGAGCATAGTTGCTGTGTAGCTTTACTATTTCTTAACGGATTTGTGTAACATGCTGCTGTGACCTTCCTTGCACGAAAAGTTTTTCTGTAGTCAACTCTCTTGTGGGATCACATGGAGTGTAGGAAAACGTGGTCGCTCAAAGAGGTGTTTCCGTCTAATAATTTGTCAGAAAGACAAAAACTGTATGGAACCACGAGTCTATTAATTGCCTGAAAAAAGTAAGGGGCCGATCATTTAACTCTTAAGGGGAAGGGGGGTGGGTGATTTTGAAAAAAAAAATTCCTGCAAGCAATTGTTGGAAGAAAAAATTGCATGCGGCCCAAATGTAACAGAAAAAAAGGGGCATTTAGAACGGAAAAAAATATCCTGCCCAGCAGATTACTAGAAAAAAAATTTCTTGATAACCAGAAATCACCCACCCC